CCAATGGGCTGGGCAACCCCTTGGGCCGTTAGTACTGGTGGGCCCAACCCTTTGATGGGCCTTGATAGTTGGGCTCTTGGTCCTGGACCGGAAAAGAATAGTTCCGGTCCGGATCAGGGATAAAAATCATTTATTTTATATAGAAATTAGAATTTTATAGATGATTAAATATATATACTTCAAATTTTTGTTCTCCTTGTTGAAATAATTTTTGTGAGATGGTTAACTAAAGTTTGAAGATTTAGGTGATAAAAACTATATGGCTGCGGCTATATGCAAGACTAATTCCACTTGTGTAAGACCAAATTAAAATTTTCAATGTATAAATACTATAATACCCTTATTTATTAAAAAAATAAAAAATTCCAAATATGCAAGACCAAAAATTCAAAAACACAAAAAACCCTATCACAAGACCACAAAACCACAAGACCAACTCTCATCTTCTCCATCTTCCAAAACCCACAAGACATTTCTCCTTCCTCCTCCATTAACCCACAAAACCTAGAAATTCAAAATCATCAAAACTCAACAAATCTTACAAAGATGGCAAGTATGGAGTCATAAGACATCAAAATAGAAGATTCTACGATGGAAGAACCCAAGAATGTATGCATTTATGGGTTTTTTAGCTAGAATATCGATTTTCCAAAAAAAATCCCGCGCAAACGAATTCGACATGTACAGGTCGAATTTTACAGGTAAAAATCGACATTTAGATGTCGATTTTGAGGTATAAAATTCGACATTTGAATTTGTGCTATAAATTCGACATGTCAATGTCGATTTTTACCTATGAAATTCGACGCTTAAGTGTCGATTTGTAGCATAGTTTTTCGACACATTCGTGTCGATTTTTGTTTTTTTCTCATTATTTGTATTTGGTCTTACATGAGAAAACAAAGCCAATTTAATTTATGGGCATACTTGTCATTTTATCTTAATAAAATATAATCTTTTGGAATCTTTCTTTAATTTGGTCTTGCACAAGTGGAATGAGTATTGCATATAGCCGCAGCCAAACTATATATATTGTTGAAGATGCTCTTTCTTTTTCATATATATTGTCTCATAATTCTAGAATAAATTAGTGAATATTTTTTTTGCATGATAGAGGAAATAGCGTGTAAATTATGTAAGCCAAGAAGCACATGGACCGGAGACATTTGTCAATTAAAAATAATAAGTCCATTTTGTTGATATATTTGGTTTTTTTTTTTTAATGAAGGAACTCGCAGTGAATCATACAGGTGCGCTGGATAAATCTAATTCTCGTATAATAGCTTACAAACCATATAAGAGACGTAAACTATATTAGGCTAACCACGTGTGATAAACTCGACCTAGTAACCATGAATAAGAGAATTCGAACATCAGTCAATTGACATTTATATATACAACATTTATAAAGGAACCAACATATCTATACATGAGCATTTTGTAAATTCTTATACAATAATTCAGGAACCACACGCGAAGTGTGAACTAAATTATCTCAATTGTTCAAGCATTTTTCTATCTTCCGGCATTATATTCTCTAGTCTAATGCGCACGCCAATTACATATTCGGTTTTCGCGGACATAAAATCAATCCCGACTCCGCTAATGAAGATGTAGATTAGACAAAGTGTCATCATATTACTAAATATTTGTTTAAATTTATCTTAACATGAGTTATTTATTTACTTGTTTATATATTTATGATATCTTAATAGCATCCACCTTAAAAAAAAAAAAATATTAGAATAATAAAATTAAAGGAAATAAAAGAAATATATTGTCATGGTCAAATGTTTGGAAATAAAAGAAATATATTGTCAAGTGTTCCTTTAAATTCGTACTGGTCTTGTACCATGGTGGTCATGGTCAAATGTTTGGAAAATGAATTTATTATCAAGTAATGCTTTTATTGTATTCTGTCTTTAAAAAAATGAATGCAATGTTAAAATATATTAGAAATAGTATTCTTATTTATAAGATGGTGGATCAAGAATATAATTAGTTAATGTAAGCATCAAGCTGGCAACATAAGTCCAAAGACAAGAAAATTAGATAATAATAATATTATATTAGATAATAAACAAAATGTGGCCCCACATGTTACTTAGTTCAACATTATAGACGTGCAATCCATGTATGTAGATGTATGGTAGGTTTGATCAACCAAACCATAATCGATATGGATCCCGTTTGGTTGCTAAGATAAGATTAGTGAGAATAAAATAAAATTATTTAATAAAAAAATTAATTATTCTATTTAACAGTTCAATCGATATGGATCCCGTTTGGTTGCTAAGATAAGATTAGTGAGAATAAAATAAAATTATTTAATAAAAAAATTAATTATTCTATTTAAAACATTGAGAGGTCTAACAAAAAATATGTTTTTACAAAAGGCAAGATGATAAGTCATGATAATAGGTGGATCTGATAAGTTATTGGATATATTAAACATTAATCAAAATTGTTAATCTTTTCAACCAAACGAGGCATTATGATTTTCCTTTTTCTTTAACAACAACACTAACAAAATTAAATATTTATACTCTATAATTTTGGTTTCAGTAATTTTCAAAAAAATAAAAAGATAGAAAAAGACAAAAATATCCCCTTCTAACATTTCTTGGTCAAAAATCTTTATTGAAACGTAAAATCCAGAAGTTGCAAGTCAATCAAGTGATCTAAACGAATTGAATTCTTTATTCTAGACGATGTTTATTTTCTTTTACTTACTTGAAAATTATCAATCTAAACTATATATATTAATAAAATAAATGTTATTTCTTAAAGAAAATGAAAAAAAAAACTTTATATATTGATCAATTCATTTTACGCACGTAATTATTGTAATAATTTTCAAAATACAATTTAAATTAGAGTAAATAGTACTTAACCTCCCATGGTTTGAACTTTGTGCATATAACCATTTGTACTTTCATTGTAAGCACATAATCCCAGTAGTTTGAACTTTGTACATATGACCCCTTTGTGCTTTTAATATAAATACATATCATGCTTGTTGGAAGAGAATGACTTATGGTTTCTAATTAAAAAGAGAAAAAACAAAATAAAAATAAACGAGCAAAAAATACTTTTGAAATCTGATAATAAACTTTTGAACATTGACAGTGAACTTACATACGAACGTATAACAATAAGAATGTGCAAGTATTTTTATACAAAAGGAATGAGCAAGGACCTTTATCAAAACAAAAGATTATTGTTCTTATTGGTAATAAAATCATATACGAAGGACTTTTAGCTAATTAAAAGAAAAACAATAAATAGATGTTGATTAGCTTGATTTAGTGACTAATTTTCTCCAAATTTACAAGTACCAAAGGACACGTTTTAGACTATAGAATAGTGATTTTTATTTTAGATTTTTCAACCCGTGAGGGAAGAAATTTTGATAGGGGGAATTGGGAAAATGACATAAATTTGAGTCATTTTTTTCTAACCCACCACATGCCTGCCATCTGCACTATAAAAATAATCAAATCATTGACAATAACATTTTCTTTTTTACTTTTTTGTTGATTCATCAAATAATTATGTAACATGTCATATAAATATTATGTATATACATATGAGTAAATTATGTCTAACTCGCTTGAGGTCAGGTCAAATTACGAAAAACTTGAGTAATTAAAATCATCTCCCTCAACTATGAATTTTTTTTTCCACATCCACCCATATGGTGTCAAATTCATTAGAATCTTTTAAATTTCGTAGAATGTTCTCTAGTTTGTACTCGTTTTGTGCAAAAATGCAGTTTCTGATGTACCATAATTCTGATATTTATAAGCCAAGAGACACATTTTATAATCATCTTGTTTCAAAATGTGGAGCTAGAATAGGATAAATTCGACACTGCAATAGAAGATTGCACTAAATTCGACACTGCAATAATAAATGTATAAGAAGATTTATAATTGGGGCACGATTGTAGTTATCCAAATATTTGTTTTTCATCCATAATTTAACTTTATCCCAGGAGGTAGCTGTACTCTACCCATATCTGTATATAAAATTTTGACTATGTAATCCTTTTCAGCCATCTCGAATTTCTTGTTTCCTAATAAAAACACATTAGCAGAAAATCCGGGAACATAATGACTTTTGACCCCAACATTATATACTTAATCAAGAAATGCTCTGAACCTTCCCCTATATTACATTGAAAATTAAACTAATACGCCAAATTAATATTCTTAACCACATTAATGGTTTCTCCTCAAAAAAAAAAAAAAAAAAAAAAAAACCACATTAATGGTTGATCAAGCAATAGTCCTCTCTCTTGCTTGACAAACATAAATCTTAATGATATAGAATATCAAACTCCCATTTTATTTTTTATTTTACAAATTCATAAATATATGTGTGCACCGACTAAACTCCACTCTCGTATAGACTGAAAAACTACATTGGACTAACTCTGAAAAACTACATTGGAATAACTCTATGAGATTTTTACCTGCCGGTCGTAATGAGCTCAGCTAGCTCGAGCTCAAGTAGGATTTTTCGAGCTCGAGATTGAGCTCATCTTTAGTTGTTCATGAGCTCATGATGATTCAGTTATTCATCGAACCATATGATAAACAGTATGAAAATTTGGCGTACCGAAAGTTCGGTAAGATTTTACGGAATGAACACCTCTAAATTTACCAACTAAAAGGGTTTTTTATTCTATAACTTTTTATTTTTTATATAAATAATTTATTATAAAAACTAAAATTAAATATTATGTAAAAATTAGGGAAAAAAAAGTATAAAATATAAAATGAGTGGAGCTCGAGCTCGAGTTCATCAAATAAAAGATCGATGAACTTGAACTCACCAAATTTAACTTGAGCTCGAGCTCGAAAAATCTAGCGAACACGACATAATATCCTTATTCCACTAATTAAGTCACTTTTGCGGACCGAAAACTCTCTTATTATGTTATTATTATTTTTTGTCCCACACATGTTTGAAAATATATAGGACAAAAAAATTTAAGTCTAGAAAGAGAAAAAGGGTACCTCTCCATGTAACCATATTTCATCATCATTTTGTTCTTTAAATCTTTTTCACTTATAAATCAATTATTTCTCAATCTTACAAATATTATTATTTATATTCAAAGGTCTAAACTCTAAATAACACAGAAATAATACTCCCACCGATGTATCTACTTTTCTCTTTGATTCTTGAAATTAATAAAAATGAAACCGAAGCTCCTTAATCTCTTCTTCTCCGTAATCACAACAATCCTCCTCCGGTGTACAGCGCCGGCGGAATCGTTGTGCAACCACTCATGCGGCGGCCGGACGCTCCCTTTCCCGTTCGGCTTCTCCGGCGGCTGCCAAATCCAGCTCAACTGCACCTCCAACGGCACGATTCTCGCCGCCGATTTCCCGGTCCAGTCCGTCGCCGACGGCGGGACGTTCCTGGTCAACCTTCCGGCGATGTGCGGCCGCCCCGTGGAGGCGCTGCGCCGCCTCTACGCCGGCAACTTCGCGCCGACGGCGCACAACGCGATCCTCCTCCGGGACTGCGCCGCGAGCCAGAGCACCGGCTGCTTCATCCCGACGACGATGGTGCAGACCCACTTCGAGCTGCTCGAGTGCGCCGCCGGCGGCGGCGGCGGCGGCAAGAACGCCAGCGTGAGCTGCTACTCGGAGCAGGACAACACGACGTCGTTCATCGATTACCGGAATCTGACGAGGAGCGGCTGCCGGACGCTTTTCTCGGCGATTTCGATGGAGTCGTTCGCCAACTCTTCGTCGGTCTCGCTGGATATGCAGATCGTGAGATTGGGGTGGTGGCTGCACGGCAAGTGCCGCTGCTCGGAGAACGCGAAGTGCGTCCACGTGTCGCCTCCGTCCGGGAGAAATCCTCCGCCGGCGGCGTACCGGTGCGAGTGCTTGGATGGGTTCGCCGGAGATGGGTTTCTTGACGGGATTGGCTGCCGGAAAGGTAGAATTCTAATTAATTATATATTATATTACTTTAATTTCCCTTTTTCTTTTCAACATGACATTAATTTTATTTTGCTTCTTTTGACCAATCACAATTTTTCACTTTTTACTTTAATTGTATAAATGACATTTGGTTAAAATTAAATAAACAATCATATTAAATAAATTGAAGTAAACAATTTTAACAAATGCACTGAAACTGGGTAGTTCACCTAATGCATCACAAAAACCTGTTTGTTTAATTTTCTGCATTAATTTTTAAAATTTTAAATATAATTAATTTTTTTTTAAAAGGGAAAGTATTTAAATAGTGCATAAAAAGCAAATTGTGTTATTGAAAATCAAGATTTGTGATAGTAATTGATTAATGGTAATTATGTTGTAATAAACAGAATCATTAGCATGCAATCCATCCAAGTACCTATCAGGCCAATGTGGAGGAACAACAAGAGTTGGTGTTTTAGTTGGAGGTATAATATATATACATTTCAATTTTTAATCTGCTAATTAATATGAAACCTAAAACCATACTACTAATCAAAGTTATCGGTCCTCCGGTTCTATCAGGTGTTGCCGCCGGTGCTTCGTTAATGGTCGGCCTAGGCCTCGTTTTCTGCTTTATCCGAAAAAAATCCAAATCGAGGCGCATAAGTAGAAAAAGCCGTAAACTATGCGAAACAAAAGGTATAACAATCCCCATCTACACCCACAAAGAAATCGAGAAGGCCACAAACTCATTCTCCGAGAAGAGACGCCTCGGAAACGGGGCCCACGGCACCGTCTACTCCGGCAAGCTCACCGGCGGCGGTGGCGACTGGGTGGCCATCAAGCGGATCCGCCGTCGAGACGCCGAGAGCACCGACCAAGTCATCAACGAGGTCAAACTCCTCTCATCGGTCAACCACCCTAACCTCGTACGCCTCCTCGGTTGCTCCATCGAGGATCACGAGGAACAAATCCTCGTGTACGAGTACATGCCCAACGGCACCCTCTCTCAGCACCTGCACGGAGAGAAACGCGGGGGCGGGGGCGGCGGCCTCCCGTGGCCAGTCCGTCTGGCCGTCGCCTCCGAAACCGCCCAGGCGGTCGCGTACCTCCACAACGCGACCCACCCGCCGATATACCATCGAGACATAAAGTCGAGCAACATTTTACTTGACTACAACTACAAGTCTAAAGTAGCTGATTTCGGGCTGTCGAGATTAGGGCTGACAGAATCCTCCCACATCTCGACGGCCCCACAGGGTACTCCGGGTTACCTGGACCCGCAGTACCACCAGCATTTTCATCTTTCTGACAAGAGCGACGTGTATAGCTTCGGCGTGGTGCTTGTGGAGATCATAACCGCACTGAGGGTGGTTGACTTTGACCGGCCTCAGAACGAGGTCAACTTGGCCTCCCTCGCGGTCGACCGGATCGGGAGGGGGTGTTTGGACGAAATCATCGACCCGTTCCTCGAACGGGCGGGTCTTGATTCGTGGACCCGTTCGTCGATCCACAAGGTTGCTGAGCTGGCGTTTAGATGCCTTGCCTTCCATAGGGATATGAGGCCTTCGATGATGGAAGTTGCGGTTGAGTTGGAACTGATTAGGCAGAGTAAGTGGACTAACCCGGAGATGATGATGATGAGCATTATGGGGTCGTCCCGTTCGATGTCGTCCGATTTGAGCGACAAACCGCTGAATCTGACGTTTAATAAACGGGAATTCGACGGTGTAGGGACTTTTAGCAGCAAGAATTCGTCGGATGCATTGACGGATTTTTCGCCTCTCTCGGTGGAGGATTCGTGGCAAAGTGATCAGAGCTCATCGCCCTCGTCGAATAGTTTGCTGAATCGTGTGGCTAGGTGAGATTGACACTATGATTTGTTTGAGCCATTTAAAATGTGTGTATAATTAACTGGTAATTAAGTAGACTTACATTATATTCTGCACTCTGCAGTGTAATTAGTTGGCCAACATGTTGAAAATGTGCGTTTATTGTGTTTCTGTGCATGTAAGTAGATATACAAAGATGCAATGTAAGAGTGTAAACAAGGATTTAATCTAGTACAACATGAATGCTATAAGGAATTTTCCACAAAATACATATATTAAAAATGCCAATTACACAATTGTATTTATAAATAATTTACACGGTGCAAGTAATTTGAAAGTAGTTTATATATTTATATTTTGGAAGATAAATTACGGTCACACCCCTGAGGTAAGGTCAAATTACGAAAAAACCTTATATGTTTTGGTAATTACAATTATCCCCCGCAACTATGAATTTTCTTACGCGTCCACCTTCATGGTGTTAAATTCAATATAATCTTCTAAATTCCTGGGTATGTTATCTAGTTTGTACTCATTTTGTACAATAATGCAGTTTCTAATGCACCATAATACGATATTTACAAGCCAAGTGACACATCTTATGATCATCTTATTTCAAAATGTGGAGCTCGGATGGGGTAAAACGGTACAAACTGGAGAATATTCCACATAATTTAGAAGATACCACTAAATTTAATACCGTAAGAGACGTGTAAGAAGATTCGTAGTTGAGTGAGTGATTGTAATTGCCCAAATATTAGAATTTTTGTCGTAATTTAGCCTTACCACTAATGTACCCTTTGGAATATAACTTTTAAGAGTTTAATTATTGTTTTAGTTTTTTATTTATCTCGTGATATTTTCTATTAAAAGACCCTAAAAAAGTCGGAGACGCTGCCCCAAACCCCTCTTATACTTTGTACTTTATCTTGATTCGAAATTATGGCTTCGCTAGAGGATTTATCTTAACTTTTGAATTTAATCAATTTTGCTTCGAAAATTTCTGATTTTGGTATTTTTTTATATTTCAATTTTTTAAATTTCTCTTTTCGTTTTTGTTGGGATTGAAATATACATACTTGAGAGTTAGATTGTCGATCCAATTTTAATTTTCAAATATTATATTTACAATAAATGAAGATTGAATTATATTTAGTGTAATAACTCTTAAAATATTTTAAATTGGGGTAAACAAAAATATATAGATGAATGCATCCCGATATGATTGTATATGTTAGGTACAGGTTCTTCCAAAATCAGCTATAGATCCGTAGAACAGTTCAAAACATAGGGAAGAATAAAATGTAATGAATAAGAACGGCTCAGTTCCCTTTTTCCAGTGTTCATACAGTCGATCCAAGGTCTGGTGGTAACACCAACTGAAAACAAGCACCAAGCAACAACCACTGATCCGAAACCCTAGATCTGACCCCAAGCCTCACTCTGAGTTGACTCACCAACACATGCACAGTCAACTCAGTAGATAACTCACCCTCTCCACTCAGCACAAACCCAGATTTCTGCACTCAAACTACCGAAACGCTCACAGAAGAGGATTAAGGCCAGAAAAGTCACGGTTTGAATAAAAGGTGAATCACACTTGTCTCTCTCTCTCACCACAGTATTTATACACGAAGTTTCAACGGTCTTCAGCATTAAATGTGCTGCGACGGCAAGGACACCCATTGTCCGGCTAGACCTGCGACGGTGTCGCCGGAAAACGACAATGAGTGACGATATACTATAGAGAGAGAAGGGGACAAGGAGAAGAGAGAGAAACGGCGCAGCAGTGAAATGCTGCTAGGGTTGAGAGGGAGTAGAAGAATGGGACTAATGGAGGGCTCAGATTGAAACCCCACAATAAACGGTCCAGATTGAAGTTTGACTGGATCAGTGGGCTTTTGTTTGCACTGGGCCCGACTTCACGAGTTGGGCTGAAATTAATTAAGTGATTGGCCCAGATCACAAACATATCATTTTTTATTGGGCTCAAACTTAACAGTATAATAATCGCGTTGCAGTTGAGGCAGATTTAATTATTGAACCTGACCAGAAAATGACAAAATTCCAATATTACTAAATTTGTGATTAGTATCTTATCTTAAAAATAATATTAAAAAAATTGAGATCTATATTTTGGATGAATCTATTCGATCTGACTCGGTGGGTTAAGATTTGAACAATCGTTGTAAACATTGAAGCGTAGCATAATTATAGGTTTTATAGAACTTAAGCGGATAAAATATATCATGTAGTTTTATACTATTAATCTATTTATAATTACATATAAATATATGTAGGTAAAGTTGTAATTTTGGTCCTATATGTTGGTCTTTTTAGGATTTAGTCATATAAGTTGTCCTATTTCAATTTTCCATGCAATAATTATGTCAAAGTAGTATTTTTAGTCCCATTTCACTCGAACTTTGAATTTTAGCCGTCGTTTAATGATGTACCTAACAAACTCGTAGAAATTTATTTATATGAACACTTAAGAATTATAAATGCTCATCTAATTTGATTTATAGATGAGTCGTCTCACATAATTAAAGTTCTACAAATGGTAAGTTAGATGTCGAATTTATAAATTTCCAAGCGTCCATACAAGTAAAATGCGTCAGGTTTATTTGTTCGCATCATAAAATTAAAAATCATGCAAAATAGGACTAAATCTACTATATTTGCAAAGTTATTGCATGTAAAACTGAAACATGACAAGTTACAGGACTAAATTCCTAAATAGGCCAACATAGAAGACCGAAATTACTATTTTTTCAATATAGTATGTGTGTTTTTTACCAGGTGATCGGGTCAGTTTAGTAAGATTGGCTCTCAAGACGAAATAAAGTGGACCATGAGAAGTAAATGTTTTAAGGGGCCCAAAGCCCATCATCTGAAATTATAGATCATAAAGAGCTCGCCACTAAAAAAGAGAAGATATTGCTACCAGAAAAGTCGCCAAAAGAAGAGTTCGTCGAAATGCTAATGGATGCCGGGAAAATGGGCTTAGGCTGGGCCCTCACAGTACTAAGCTTCTTGGGCCAAATGCCCAATGAAAGACAAGAACCAAGGGATACCAAATGATCGCTGGTGAAGAACTCAAACATTATAGAGCTCGCTGGCATATAGCTCGTATGTAAAGTCCACCGCTACATCTCGGTTCGCATAAAAAGAGTAGCATTAGGTGGTAGGTGGCGAGTTGAACGAGAGTTGTTAGAAGCAGAAGACTCGGGGATATCATTCCTAAATAGATAAGCCTAAGGGAAATATATAAATTAGTATTAGTAATGGAGCAATCCATGTAAATCTCGATCTAATTAAGATGAGTTAAAATATGAAGCAACTAGAAAAATCTTCATATATAAAATCTTGTAATAAGTCCGATTAAAGAAACGATTTCAATAATCATCAATAACACACTTTGGATATTCTCTTTCAAACTCTCTCTCTCCGGTTTTTTTTACTATCCATTCGTCAAATTCATCTTCTGTGACAAGAGACCGGCGTTCGGTGAATTTTCCGACAGTTAAGAAAATTGAGTATAAAGAAAGTCTTGGATATGAGATGTTACACCTGATTAAGTGCATCGAGTAGTTTTGTATAATAAATTTATGTCTAACAATTCCCTAGGCACACATAAGTATGTGTGTGTGTTTTAAATTTTAATTAGTGGTGCAAAATGAAAATCTATTACATTTTCTCTAGTGATTTCTGTTGAGCTATTTTTAGTGGATACTGCAGTTGACCAGAGCACGTGCTTCACATGTTGGCAAGAGCCACCACACACATTAAATTAAGACTATATTTTATAGGGATAATTAGTGAAAACCCCCCAATTCATTTACTTATATTAGGGTGGATATAACCTCTTTTTCATTATTAGTGAGAACCCCCCACCTTATATTAAATAATTTATTTTTTAATTAATATTGTATTTAACATTACTAATATACCTAATATATCCTTATGTGTTATATTTAAAATAACCAAACCTATTTTACGTTCTTTTTATTTCTCTTATTTCCCTCTCCCTTTTCTCTCTATAAACCGCCGCCTCCAACCCTCCCCATCTCTGCATTGCTGATGCCGCCATCTCCAACCATCTTCCGTCTCTGTGTCGTCGTCTACTCTCTCCCATCGGTGTTCCTCCCTCCACCGCCGCGAAAAGAAGGCGGTCTCCACCCCTGGAATTCTCTCGTCATGGACGGCATTAGGGTTTTCGGTAGGGAGAATGACGGACTACGCAGCGGCGCTAGGGTTGATATTGCGTTTGAGATTTCAATAGAGACCACCGCCAATATTATTTGATTGTTGTGGTTCTTCTTCTTCTCTGATTTTTTACCCAATTCTCGAATCTCATTTTTCTTAGTTGGAGATTTTGGTTGAATTCTTATATTGAAGGCTAATTTTGTGTTCAATCAATAGTATAATGGATGTTTGTTTGTTGTTGAAATTGTGTTGGTGCTATTTACAGACATATAGTTGTTTTCGTACAACAATATAGTTGTTTTCGTACAGTAATATAGTTGTTTTCGTACAACAATATAGTTGTTTTCGTACAGTAATATAGTTGTTTTCGTACAACAATATAGTTGTTTTTACTACGTTTTAGTTGATGTTAATAAATAGTTGATTTAACAAATAGAATAGTTGATTTTGATAAATGAGAGTTGTTGGAGATATATAGTTGTTTTAATAACAGTTGTTTAATATAGTTGTTTTTAACATTAGTCGTTTTAATAATAGTTGTTTTATTGAAATATAGTTGTTTTAGCTGAAGACAAAAAAAATACTAAAAAAATATTATTTTTTAAATATAATAAAAAATTATAAAAAATATTTGTTTTTAAATATTATTTTTTAAATAAGAAATAAATAAATAAACGAAAATTAAAATTAAAATATAAAAAAATAAAAAGTGCATCTAAGTATGGTATAATAGGTAGTAAATAGAGGATGGGTAAATTTGAGAATAAAAAAAAGATGGGTCTCTCATTAATAAAGGAAAAGGACCTGGGTCCATGCTTATTAAAATAATGCTAGAGGGGGTTCTCACTAATAGTCCCTATTTTATATTTTATATTATAAAAATAAATGTATTAGAGAACCACATATTTTACATCTTCCCCCAAAATTTATGCTCCCCCTCACCTCAACAGTCAAACACTTTCACAGTCACCACAAACCGTTGACCCCACAAAAAACAGTTCCCACCATTTTCCACGTGTCAATCTCTCACACTTCTTCACTCCCGCCGAATAAAATAACTAAATTACCACTAAATAAACAAACCGAGTTAATTAACCTAGCTCGGCCGCCCGGTCTAGAAACTGGCCCGTTTCAGCGACGTCACGGTAACGGCGGCGCCCAGCGGCGACGCCGCGACCTCGATGTCGAACGAGTCGTACCGTCGGAAGAGCTCCACCAGCAGCAGCCTCGACGCCAGCACAACGAAATCCTTCCCGGCGCACTGTTTGTTGTTAACGGAGGGGGCCCCACTCTCCGGCCCGTTCGACCAGAGCACGTGCTTCAGCATCTCCTCCCCTTCTTCTCCGACGAACCGGTCCGGAACAAACTCGTCAGCCCGGTCGAATATTCTGGAATCTTTTGTGGCAAACGGCTGATACCCGTACAGCATATCCCCTTCCTTGATCTGAAACGCGCCGTCGTGCGATTCGATCACGAAGTCCCGCTTCGCCTTGCCGTACTGCGACGACACCGGCGGCTCGATCCGGAGGGACTCGTAGACCACCGACTTCATCAGCGGCATCTTCTCCATCGCCGCCATGGTGACGGCGGCGCCGCCGGCGGCGGAGCGGATTTCCCTGGCCAGGTCGTGGTGGAGCTTGGCGCCGGCGCGGGCTACCCATTTGAGCATGTTGGGGAAGAAGATCTTCATCCCGCCGAATGAATTGAAGCACGTGGTGAATAGGATGTTGTGGCAGGCCTCGTCGCGGGAGATTCCTAGGGTTTCGGCGTGGTCCAGGATCGGAGAAGAGCTCTGGTAGAAGAAATCGTAGAGGCGGCGGTAGTCTTTCTTCACCAGAAACGCCGGCAGAGAGAATGTGTGGAGGATGCCGTCTTCTACGGGTCGGGGCAACCCGAGTTTCAGCAACGGGTGGAGCTGGAACAGGACCCATTTGTTGATCAGCTTCGGCCCGTCGGATCCAAGCCCGGAGTCATTCGGGCTGGCGCCAAAGAACGACCGGGCCAAGAAATTGAACGCCGCCTGTTCATTGGCGGCGTTCAGGGCGGCGCTACCTTTGGTGGCTAGTTCGCTCTCCAGGTTCTCGAACAGCTCCGAGTAGCTGACGTGGAATTCCGGGATGACGTGTTGCCGCCGGTGGGAGAGTAGGAAGAACATGAGCTTCTTCAGCTTGGCGTGGTTCGGCTCCGACGGGTCTAGATACGATAGCATTCTGTAACCGCCGGTGAGATCGACGGAGGGCATGTAAGTACCGGTGAAGAGATCCTTCTTCTCGACTTTGTCGGTGTCGAAGAGCGCCGGAAAGCTCCTGCCGTCGAGCAGGGCGACGACGTTAGGGTTGAACGAGATGAACGGCCCCGGCGGCATGTTCGTACGGAACACGGTGGAGCTGTACTTCTGGATTCTCGACCGGAAAAACTCATCTCTGCCTTGGTTGTAGAAGTAGTCCTGTCTGTCTCTCCACGCGCCGATCAACGGCAGCCCGTAATCTCCGGGGATTTTTCGGATCGGGGGCGTTGTGGGTTTCGCCGGAGAAGTTGACGGCGGCGTCTCCGATACGACGGCGGAGATGACGTGTGAGCGGCGGCGGCTCTGCAAGATCAATTTCGAGGGAGTGGCGGGGAGTTTGATTAATGAAAATTGGGAAGAGAATTGAAGGTTGAAAGTGGAGAGAGAGGAGAGAGAATAGGCAGCAGCCATTTTTTGATGATGTTCTTGACGAGGATGATGTAATGGTGGGAGTGTGTATGTATATGTGTATGTATATATAGGTAGATGGTGAGAGAAGAATTACTAATTATTTATGAATGTGATTGAAATTAAAAAAGACTAGAAAAAAATGATGAATTATGAGTGGGAGACGTGGCCCACTTGGCGATGAGAGAGAGAGTAGAGAGAAAAGAGAGTGGGAGGGGGCAATTTTTTTTTGTGTGTGGTTTTAATATGGAGTTTTTAAAATGGTGTTATTTTCGGAGCAGTTATCAAATTGGGGTTGACAGCCATCTGCAACGGCGGCAACGGCCGGAGGCACCAGCGCCGGTGGCGGCACCGGGAGGAGACGCCGCCACCGGTGGCGTCTTCTCTTTTTTTTTTTTAATTATTTATTTTAATATTTTAATATTATAATATTTTCTGGAGGAGACGCCGCCGGCGGCGTCTTCTCTCTTTTTTTAATTATTTATTTTAATATTTTAATATTTTAATATTATAATATTTTCTGATTTTTTAATATTTTATTATTTTTTAATATTTTAATATTTATTATTTTAATATTTTTTCTGATTTTTTAATATTTTAATATTTTCTGATTTTTAAATTTTTTTTACAAATAAAACAATTCTAAATTCATTAGTTTGATGTTAGTATTAAATTTATTATATTTTATATATTTTATCAATTAGTGTTAAATTAATCATTGCATATATTTCTCTAATCAACACAATAAAATAGTGTACAATCTTAAAACTATGTAGACAAAAACAAAAGGAGTTCTAGAAAATAAAAGAGTTATATAAAATAAATAGGTCCAATAAAAGAGTTATATAAAATAAATAAGTCCAAAATGAGTACAAAGACAAAATGAGTACAAGAAAATAAAATTGGCACTATGAAGTCAGTGCCTATGTGAACCAGTGCCACATGCAGGTGCCCGTCTAGTCCTACGCGGCCTACCATTTCGACGAATGTCAGGATCTGCTGGTACATCATCAACAAACTGGGTGTCATCCGGTGGATATGGAACAGGGGAAACATTATACTGTGGTCGGATCCGCTCTTGGGGACTTGAGTATCCCAAATTGAGCTCCAAATGTGGACCCCATGAAGAGAACCGAGTATCAATAGCAGGAGGATATGAGGTAGCTAGAGAATCGGACAATGACATATCTGGAACTAATCATTCGTAGATGGACCAACTAAATCTGTAAATGTGGGTACCTGAGATGTAGACGCACCGAACATATCCATAAATCCATGTGTAGTAGATAAATCGTTCATACCTCCATGCACAGAAACATCCGCATAAAAGGGTGTATGAGAAGCAAATGGACCGGCAACATCTCCAGATGGAGGTACCCGAGATGTAGATGCATAATAGTTCCCCTCTCTCGTCTGTCTCACGTCATGCTCCAATTCAGTAGCTCTTTCGGCAGCGCTGGACCTTCTTCTGGTACGTCTATCTCGATGCGGAGAAGGTATAGGAGGTATGGCAGGTATCGGAGGTAAGCTGGACGAAACACCATCTCTACGTAGAAGTTGAGTCCTAGCTGCATACATCCGTGTAGCGTTGTCCTGATACAAATCATATATCCAATCGCCATCTCGAGAAACTGCCCTAGCAGCAAGACTCATGGATATAAGTTGATTACCCTGGAATAAAAGGCATTACAAGTTTAAGAACTTAAAAAATTAAACTGAAAAAATAAATTGAAAAACATCGAAAGTAATGGTTGTTTTGCGAAAAATACTAACAACAAGATCTAGTAAAATCGAATCTCCGACCTGAAAACCGATATCATCTAGATTGTCAATCGGTGATATCAAACGACGTGTGTGCCTCTCATACCACTCGTAATATCCTGGATCTGTCTGAGGCCCACTAAACTCAATAAATGGATAGTCAACGGGAGAATCAAGTCGGCCATGCCATCTATCAACATAGATACCGTGAAAACGAGCCCAATCTCTACCCCATGCACCTCGACGATCATAAGAATGCAACTTAATCTCAATATCGTGGTCAGTAGGATGTGGTGGTATATGTAGTACCCTCCCAAACTGACGTAGCACCCTATACGGACGATGCATCTCAACTCTCTCGTAAAATATAAGGGGACAACTCGACAACCAAAGTTGTGGATGCACTATCTCAGGATACTCAAGTAAAGCGTCAAACTCAAGATCTAGTTCACTATAAGGCATCCATGTAAACTAGAAAAAAAAATATTTTTTAATATATTGTTAAAAATAGATCACAAACATTAACATAATTGTTGTTAACTTATAAATAACTTGATCC